GTCAATATTTGCAATATTTGATTAAACCAAGCACGTAGGCCTGTAAATGAACTAACCGTTCAGCGAACCGTTCATGAACCGTGCGGCGGGAAGTTCGTTTATGTGCGTTTATTTTATTAAATGAACGAACATGAACAAGATTTTGTGTTCGTTTAATTAAATGAACGAACCTGAACATAGGCCTCGTTCGTTCATTTATGTTCGTGAACGTTCGGTTATGTTCGTTCTGTTATGTTCGTTTATGTTCGTTCGGTTATGTTCGTTTGTGTTCATTCATTTATGTTTAACCCAATCTTCTTAAATCAATTTTGGTGATCAATTTGTAAGTATCTTAAAAATATTAATTAATTTGATATTCTGATGACCAACTCTATAATTAACCCAATTTTTTTTGGGAAATCCAACAATATTAACATGGTTTAGTTCATTTTGAACAATCCATAAGCTGCATACCCAGCACCGTCAACATCCACTATGTCGGAACCCTATGTGACTACACCACCAGCTGGTTATCCGATGAGCCAAGAGGAGTCCCAGAAATCGGTTGCTTTCGAAACCAAGTCCAAAGGTGATGGATTCCGGAAGGGATGTTAAGTATTAAGTACCGTTTCTTCTACTCAAATAATCTTCTTTTCTTTCATTTATAATGGAGTATTCGAATTTACAAGTAAATAGTGATCAACCAGTAACTCAAGTCAGCTTACTTTGAACTCAAGAACCCAATAATGGTAAGGCCTTATTCCATAGGTTGAGAAGTTCTTTAACGCGTTTCATCAAACAAATTTTGTGCGCCATCCGAATATGGAAGTTTAGCCAACCTACTTCTCTCATTTCCCAATTTTCAACTTCTACATAGCACGAAGCTAAGGACATGTTTATTTGATCCCCAAGGATTTAAGGTCGGCAATCACATAAAACACAATCTGTGTTCATCTCGACTGTTGTTGAATGAGATAGGAAGAAAGAAAGTGGAGGAACATTATGCAATCCCATATCAGTAACAAATAAGCAGCTCGGGGTTGGTAACTTATATAAAAGAAGATGGGGGAGAATAGGTTTAAGCATCTTTGCACTTGGGGCAATGTCGAGCTTGAATCGAGCTTCAATCGAGCTCAAGTCTCGAGTTTTAATCGAGCTCTTAATTATTTTTTGAGTTAGAGTCTTTTCAAGTTCGAGTCGAGTTTCAATATTATATTTCGAGTTCGAGTCGAGCTTGATAATTTTAAGCTCGCGAGTTTTCGAGTCGAGCCGAGCTGACTTTGAAAGTTTTCGAGTTTGAGTCGAGGTCAGCAATACTCGAGCTCGACTTGACTCGTTTACACCCCTAGGTAGGGTCTCCAACGTTTATGTTTGTTTATGTTCGTGTTCATTTATGTTCGTGTTCGTTTATGTTCGTGCGCGTTTATGTTCGTTTATTTATTAAATGAACGAACATGAACAAGTTATATTCCTTAATAAACGAACATGAACAAAAAAAATTTGTTCGTTTATGTTCGTGTTCGTTTATGTTCATTTATTTTTTAAATAAACGAACATGAACATACCTCTGTTCGTGTGCGTTCGGTTCGTTTACAGGCCTACAAGCACGAAGACGAAGGTGGTGTAAGGCAGGACATACACGAGACTTTTATGTTAAGGGTCGAATTTAATAAATTATATTAGAAATTTAAAAGGTATGAAATTAAAAAAATATATATATTAAAAATTTAGAGAAACAAAATTATAAAATATAAGGTGCAAAATTAAATAATTAATAAAAGTTACAAAGAGAAAAAGTAAAATATAAAAAAAAAAAAAATCACCACTTTCCAACACCCCTCTGTCCAGCCCTAGTGTAAGGGATATTTGGACCTACTCCACTTATTTCAAGTTAATAAGTTTCTACGATACAAACACAGAAATTTATTAAAGGAAATATCAACAAGAAAAATTTAACACTTACCCAAGGCCAACTGAAAACAAATCTACTTAATTTATTTTATGCTCACACGTACTGATTTCCAAAATTTGAAGTTAATATTCGTATGTTAACTCGAACTTTGAATGACCTGAATAATAAGTTAACGCAAACGACGAAAAAAAATAAATTTACCCGGGTACATAGTAGAACGGGCCGGTAACCGAGTGTTCTTCTCACCTAGCTGAGCTAACATACATGGATTCCGGCGAGCTATTGGCCTCATCCGACGTTCGAAGGGCAGATGGAAGTGGTGCTGTGATGTAAATCATCTGCAACAAGAATAAAAAAAACGAACCCATAATATAGAAATCAATATTTTTTTCTCTAAATTAATAATTTTTTAAATACTATACAAAATACGATAAACCAAACCGGTCCGAACCCATAGAATTTAATTCAATTATCCAGGACATTAGTTTGATTTGCATTCAGTTGTTAAAAGACTAGAATAGTACACATTAATCACAATCTTTTTCGAAACGAACCTAAACCAGTCACCCTCAGATATTCATCGGATACTAATATCGAATATAAGTATTTCAAAAAATGAAGATCGGAGCAACACGACTTATAGATTACCTCATTTGTGGTTGGATGTGAGAGAACAAGTCGATGTGCATGCAAGTAATAGCCGCAGTCTCCCGGTACTGGGTTTGTAGGCCTATGGTACCCTCTGCAACAACAATCGAAATAGAATGCAGTTTTAAGTAGCAACTTTCCAGACCGTTTCACATGAATCCTGAGCTAATAGTAATAGTATTGAATAACAATATATATCCGACACAGATATATTTTATTGTTTTCTAAGTTCACTCATATATTTGGAAGATCATTAAAGTCTAGAGAATCATATCCCTTATTCGTTTCCGAAGATGCCACAGGCATGCAGATGAGACTAAAGAAGAACATTAGAGTCTAAAGAAGATGCTATGATTCTCATATTAATCATACAAGATCAGGAAGGAGATGAAAGCAGATATATATGTCATACCCATCTTGTGCATAGCTTTCATCTACAATCTCAGAGTCAAAACACCTTGGCTGGCCGCCAGCAATATACAACGGATCACCTGATTGATTGTAAAAAGAACATATTAGTTGAACATTGGGAGTTGTAAGAAATGTCATTCTATGTTACTTAAACTCTGGTGTACCATACAGAATTGTCTGATACGGTTTTTTTTCCATGTATTTGGAAGGTCATATGAAAGAGTCAGGGTAACATAAATGTCATTTGTGGCATGTTTTTCTTCAGAAATGGTCGCATATAAGTTGAAAAAAAAATCTAAAACTTGGTCAAGATTGAATTTATTCAGTCTTTACCCAACAAAGGATGGCCTATGAAAGAAAGGTGAATCCGTATTTGGTGAGGCCTTCCTGATTCAATCTCGACCTGTCAAATACGTAACTTAAAACATTAGTGTAAGTAAATTAAAACAAAAATCTATCCGTCTACATAAGCACCTAAATATTCATGGTCACACATACCTGGATTAATGTGCAGTTCTGTTTTCCATCTCTCTCGAGAACTTCGACTTTGCTCAAAGCAGGCTTCCCTAATCAAGTAAAAGAGTGAAAAATGACAAGTCAATAACAGAATAGATACTTAGGCTCAGTGTGAAACTAAATCCCGAAACAGCAACTTGATCCTATTTTGCTCCAACTCTTCATCCGTTTTTGAAGTACTCATGTCTGACAAATAAAATATGGAGATATGACCTTCGGGAATCCTCCTAATACATGTAAAAACTAAAGGAAGTTTCGATCATACCCGTCGGACAAATACCTTTATTTGACACACACTCAAACTTGAGTGACACAGACAGGGCCTCATAACATAGCAACTAAAACTTCATGAAAAGCCGGTACTGCTCCTTTAAATCCATGGTTTATAACTACATGTACTTTCAATATAATGTTAGATAAGCAAACCTGAGGGTGAAGCAACATAAAGTCCTTTGGCCACTCCGGGATAGCGCACTATTCCAATTGGCTGATCGATGACAACCTGTGATGCAAAAACAATAAACAATATTCAATTGGCATAAAACATTTATGCCATGGCCAACTAGCCACCAGTGTAGCGGCAAAAGACTTACATTGTTACCAAGTTGTCAATTAACATTTAGTCCCAGGGTCTAATCCCAGACAACCCGTACCCCTCCCACTTCAGAATAAAAATCTTTATGCCATGAAAAGTTTGAAGTAAGATACAAGATCAGTGGATGCAGAAAACTGAATCTACTGATATTTTGCATTTATAAGGATAAAACATTAAACCTAAATAGAAAAAGAAATGCAAATCTATTGTTATTCTTATGAGGATAAGCCCTGTTGTATGTTTACCTTGTCTTCATCAAGTATGCCAGTCACAAGTGCACGGTATATCTTTGATATTTTCCTGGTACCACCAAGTTCAGCTTTCCTGTTACTGTACATGTAAGAAGGATTTCAGCAGAAATCTAATATGATTAAAAGTTGGAAAGAGGTCTATAAAACTATGTTGCTCAAGCTCATCATTTTGCTAGACGTATCCATGTCCAAAATCCACATACGATACATATCTAGACATGAGTATGGAATTATGGATATAACTTACAAGGACCTTACAAAATACATGGAAAATTTTAGAAAATTTGAACATATTCGTGTAGGATGCATACTCAATCCAACACTTACACCCAAGTTATGTACGATGGATTTAATAAAATATTCCATCTTCAGTATTCAAGTTAGTTATCAGCTATTTTTGCTTCATCAATCAACTACACATGCCCGATATATACTTGGAGAAATCTGACCATTCCCGTGCTGGATATATACTTGTATCCAACACTCAACAACCGAGTGGCCGAGTCTGAGCAACATAGTTGAGAGCTGAGTACAAAACTTTGCCTAAAGTAACTATTTTTAACTGAAAAACATATCAGTAAATTCTCGAGCCACTTAGAGACTCTACTTTTATTGTTTCTGTAACTCACAACAGAAACCACTGAAACATGATGCTTAATTTCTGACAAATTGGTAAATACATATTTTCGAAGAAACTTGTAAAAAATATTATCATTTATTCAAGAAGATCTACTAGGAACAGAAATAGATTTTTTTCACTTCAAAAGCATATGTTGCTCCAACTCCTATTTTTCTTACAATATCCGTATTCGGCACTTATGTCCGACACATTATCTGACATGGGATATGGAGATAAGATCCTCCAAGGGACCAAGAACCTTCCAAATATATGAAAACATTTAGAAAAATTAACATACGCGTGTTAGAAAAATCTATATCCAACAATCTCATGTGAGTCTGAGTGACATAGTCAAAACTATAAATGGAAACTAGTATGATAGCAATGGGTTTCTTTTACTACCTGTTAGCTCCAACAAGAGATGTCCCATCAGCAAAATATGCTGCAAGGCAAGTTTTAGCAACTTTTGTCTTTGCACAAAGTAATATTCCTAGAAGCCAACCAGCAGAAAATTAGGGGAAAAAAGGAAATAATAAAGAAGTAAGCAATCAATATCGTGCAGGTAGGACTAGAAACTGCTAACAGCTATGTTGTTCCAACTCATTTGTTTTTCTTGATGTACCATGTTCAGCAACCGTTAAAGACATATTTGGACATCGTTAAGGGGATAAGATCCTCCAGAAACTCCCCAAATATAAAGGACAGCTTAGAAACATAATGCCTAGGCGATGCACAAGCAAGCAATAACATGAAGAAATATGATGCCTTGGTTGTATTATCTATATTGAGTAAGCGATGATGAGTATGCAAACCTGATGTATCCCTTCCTAACCGATGCACAGGAACAGGATGTGATTCTTGACCTTTTAGGGGAGGGTTCTGCTTCTTTATGCTCCAACAAAGCTGTGTCAAAACAGTCCGTTGCTGGAAAAGGCCGCCGGGTAAAACTTGAAGACCGGATGGCTTGTTTAAAGCAATCTAAACACAAACATTATGATTTTTGTCAAAATCAAAATTGATAACTAAAATTTGGGACAAATAACTAAGAATAAGGAAATTTAACCAAACCCCAGAGTACTTTTATGTAGAAGGAAAAGGAAAAAAAATTCAGGCTAGAGAATTTAAGTTCATAAAACAATCAAAAAAATAAAGTTGTCCATGATACTAAAATGTAAAATCCAAACTATTTGGGCACCAAGTGCAGAACTCACAACATTGGGGAAAAAGGATAACTTAAATTGGAAATTTCTTCAACATCTCGTAATATCTGAGTTTTTCTGAGTTTCTGTGTTTTTCTGTGCAGATACTGGTACAATTGTGCAACATGGGTAAGCCTGAGTTTTTAGATAATGATTTTTAATGAATCACCTACATGTGTTATTAGATTTCAGTAATGATTTTTAATGAATTCTAAAGTTCAAATCTTCCCCTACATGTGTTTTTAGATACTGGTACAATTGTGCAACAATTGTACAATTCTGACATTTCAGTAATGATTTTTAATGAAAATTAAAGTTCAAATCTTCCCCTACATGTGTTATTAGATAATAAAAGTAGAATTAATCATGATTTATATTAATAAAAGAAAATACTTTAGAATTCAGATTTGACTCTAATTTTCCCAAAAATAATTAAAATAGTTAATTTACCAAGTCATCATCCTCGTACAAAACTTCAAGCAAATGAGGAACATCAGGTTCTTTCCATGGAAGCCTATGATAAACTAAAACTGAATCACCACTGCCAAAAGAAAGGGAAAAAACAATTAACTGGCAAATAATTGTTAAAACGAAATTTAAAAAAACAAAACATACCTGAGAATCTCATTTGGATCTTTAACGACTCTTCCATCAACTGATATCTGAAAATAAACAAACATCGGAAAAAATTAATTCAGTTTCTGTTTTGTATTAATTGATTAACTCATTCTTTTTTTAAACATACCTGTCCATTTTGAATTCGCTGCAACCAACTGTTCAATCATTAATAATTTGGGGAAAAAGAAATTGAAAATTTGATATAATTTATAAGGAATTAAAACAATTACCCTTGTAAAGGAGCTGAATGTTTATACTTCCTTGAGTAAAATTCTACTAAAGTAAGCCCTATAAAAATATATAAAAAAGGAGGAAAAATGAAAATATTCAATTAACAATTCTCACATAAACTTGGAAGGAAAAATAAAAAGAGAAAATAAATTTAAGTTTTGGAATGACCGGAATCGGAATGCGGAACGACGTCGTTGTAGAATATGCCGTCGTTGAGTTCCGGCCAAGGTAACCCGAAAACCATAGACTGAGTTCGCGAATCGTTTGACATTTTTTTTTTCTTTAGAGGCTTCAATGGCCGAATTTACCTTCTGGATCTGTGACCCGATTTGAATTTAGGTGAATTAGAAAGGCTTAATATATCAATTGCCTCCTGAACTTCACAACTTTTCTTAAAATGATACTCGGAAATCTATAAATTCAAAAAAGAATGTAATTCAGCTTTAATTTTTTTGACGTAATTTTTTTATTAATTAATGTAAAAAATTAAGTTACCTTTTTTTATAATTATGTTTTACCAAATAATAAATCAAAAAAATGTTTAGAAAAATAATAATTAATACATGTTATAAAAATGATATAATTATATTATATTAAAAATATTTAAATTTATTATTTTAAATAGATATACTAGATCATATCATTATTTTGTGGATTTAACTGTTAATATTTGTTTTAATAATAGTTTAATGGATAAAGTACACAAATGGTCTTTCGACTATAGGGTGATGCTTTGTTAAGTCTATCGACTATTAAAAGTTATAAAATTATCACTCGATTATAAGATATTATTTTGTTGAGTCCCCGACTATTAAAAGTTATAAAATAGTCACTCGATTATTTATATGTTTCAAACTCATCCTTTTTCATTAAAAATTTGATGACCTTCTAAGTTGAACGTTAACTTACTAACTGGGATATGATAAAATCATATTTTAATGATGTCTATTAGCACCGATGTTGCTTTTAAACACTGGCTTAATAACATAATATAAATGGGGGTCGATCCAAAAAATACAGTTCAAACAATTATGTAATCAAATTTTATCAAATCCAGTCAACAAGTTTACGTCCAACTCAGATGGTCGTCAATCTTTTGATGGAAAATGACGAGTTTGGAACATATGAATTGTCGGTGACTATTTTGTAACTTTTAATAGTTAGAGACTCAACAAAATAATGTCATATAGGCAAGGGACTATTTTGTAACTTTTAATGGTCGATGGACTCAACAAAGTAATGTCCTATAGTTAGGGGATCATTTGTGTACTATACCCTAGTTTAATTAAGTGATCAAATTGTAATATTTAGAAAAAAAAAGTGATCCATTTGTAACTAAACTAATAAATAAGTGACCTGATATGTATTTTAACCAACTATCTAAAACCCTCATAAATTGAACCTTTATTTGATTTTTCAGTGTCAGTCTATGCAAAAACTGATAGAAAATGGCGAGAACTGCTCTCTTCCACTTGCTTAGATCTCAATCCAAGCAACTCCTTTCGAGAAACATCCATTCAGGTTCTTTTTCTCTCTTGATTTTGGGAAACCCCTTTTTTTTGTTCATCACTATTCGATGTCGAGTTTAAATATTTGTTTCTAATATCCCCATTAGTCTATAAGCTTAAAACCCATGGTTGCTAATTCTATTTCTGATTCAATCATATGAAATTTGGGACTTTTCGTTTGATTTGGAAATTTGGTTTTATTAACACTAACACATAAAAGGAAAAAATAGGGGTTTTATGGTGTCGTTGTTGAGGTTTTCCAAAAAAAAATCAAATTAAAACCATTTTTAATATCTTTTCTGGGTTTTTTCCTTACAATTTCAGAGTTGGAGATGTGATTTGCTTATCTACAGGAACAATTGTTGCATTGAGACGAAAATAGTTTTCAGCATCACAAGTGTTTGTATTATTTATTGTGTCATTATTGTGTTTCAAATATCACATATTTATATAAATTTCGATACTATAATGATTCATATTATATAGATTTCGACACAGTCGAATATTATTACTATGCTTGTGCTTTTTTCATGTCATGGTTTTAGTGATTTCTCTAATGTCGTATCCAGCATTACCAGGTCCAATCTAGTTTAGATGTAGCTGGTGTTTATAGTGTTAGTATGTGAAACTGAACCATGTGCTTGCTAATGTATGATTGCACGAAAATGTCCCACATCATTGAATCCTTACAATGCCTCATATTTGTATGACTGCAGGAAGATGACGCACTTCATGAAAATCTATCTCTGTTAATAACTCGATCTTGGATTTTTTTGCTTGTGGATTGGTTCTGATTTGCCGCTATTTGTGCTTTGCTTATAATTCTCTTTCATGATATTAGATGACTAGGTTTTCCATCAATACTGCATTTGATCTACCAGGCAGCGTTTAGAATTTGATTATGCGGATTGTATGCCGCTCATTGACAGCTGAATCCTGATATAATTTCTGGATATTACTTTGGTTGCATGTTCCTCACCATGTTACATTAACTAGTATTCAATCTGATCCCCACCCTGGTTTCTTTTGTGGATATCAGAAAAGATCAGGGATTTGATGTTTTCTCAATTTTCTTAATTTCCATTGTTCTTTGTTCAAAAGCCAACTACTACTACCAAACATATAGAACTACTTAGAGTTCTACAACTCGAGAACGATGCTATGGATTAAGTTAAACTTTGTAACCAGGCACGTTTTTATTGCAAGAAGGGGAAAAAACACTTGATTTCACTTGAACGTGAAACAGAAAAGTTGTGCGGTTTACATGACATTTGACTGAATGATATGTTACCGTCTGCAATTCCATTAATCCAAGCTTTCATGAAATCATGTTTCATTCGCGCTTCTTGTTACTGTTATATGTTTCCGGATACTTCTGTAGTTATAGTAAAAGCTGACAATATTCTGTTCTTCTCTTGCTCATTCTTCTCTCCGTTGCTTTAGGTTATCCTTATAGGTTTGCAGTACGGTCTGTCACCCAATATGCCAAGCCAAACATCCACTCTGCAGTGAGCATTTCCGGTGTCCAGAAAAGATTGGCTTCTCAGGCTAAGATAAGTGAGGACGACAACAGAATCAGCATAGGTCCTCAAAAAGGGAGAGAAGATAACGAAGATGAGAAAGATGCCGGGATTGTTTACTACGGACCGATTTCATCTACAATCAAGAAAGTAAAGCTGCTTTCGCTTTCGACCTGCTGCCTCTCGGTGTCGTTAGGTCCTGTCATTACATTCATGACTTCTCCGGATATGAACGTGATTCTGAAAGGTGCAGTGGCGTCCTCTGTGATATTCTTGAGTGCTACAACGACAGCTGCACTTCACTGGTTCGTCAGCCCTTACATCCACAAGATCCGGTGGCAACCCGGTTCAGACAGCTTTGAGGTGGAGATGTTGTCTTGGTTAGCAACATATATTCCACGAACCATCAAGTTCGCCGACATCCGTCTGCCCGAGACGAACAGACCATTTGTGACATTCAAGGCCAATGACAACTTCTACTTCGTAGATGCCGAGCACTGCCATAACAAGGCTTTGTTGGCTAGACTCACACCCCAGAAAGCAGCTCATGATTCCGCTTTTAAGAACTTGTGAATCGATCGTCCAAAAGGTCGAGAATGGGGGACTCGGGAGCTCGCGAAAGCTCTGTGGATAATAAGCCTGTTGATTACAGAGAAACACAACATTTTTCATGGAGTTTAATTGGAATTTCGGTCTGTTGCTGCTTGCTAAGTTTGATGTAGTGAAAGTTTTGTTTGCTTGAAACTTTATCATAAATGATTAAATGACATGCTATGTTATTGATTAGTTGTAACATTTAAATCCGGCCTAGTTACAATCAGAACATAAGTGTGACAAAAACATATTATAAGAATTAACCTTATTTATGATATTTTATTCATTCGTAATAAACTTTAAACAAAACAATATTAATCAAAATCTTTGAATAAAACTGAATAATTATCTAAGAACATGACAATATAATGATTCATTTTTAGTAATTAATTAAAACTTCATGTAAATTTTATAATAACCTAAATAAAATCTAAATGTTATAAGGTTTGTAGTATATAGAACATAAACCAACTAGAATTGTTTAAATGATAATATCGAATATAAAAATTCAAAACTGCAATCCAAATAATAATAATAATAGTACGAAGGTAAAGGAGAATATTGTTCTCCTTATATGTCTTAGGTTCAAGTAACAATATCTATAAGATGTGTCTGCGTTGTTAAATACTTCAATAAATCTTAAAAGAATAACGAGATTCCAACTGATAAAATGACTACACAAATTATTCTTTCATTAATCTTTTTTGACTCACAAAATATATTGTATCATTTATTCATTATTCAATATTAATAGCCCATTCAATCATTTACTCTAACTTGATTATTCAAATCATCGTGGAGATTAATTGGGTCATTGAGCTATCCGACATTAAATAGGTGTCTTCACAAAGATTAAAAACAATTAAATCACTGTAAATAGAAGGAATTCGAGTAAAAATGAGTAGAATAGATTACAAATTCAAAGTCAACGGATCAAAATCAATGATTAACGGGATAAAATCAACGAATAAAAAAATTAATAATTAAATTAAAATTAAATTTATGAGAACATATTTTCTAAAAGTCTTGGTTGTCACAGAAGTAAAAGCGGCTATTCTTACAATCAACCAAATCAAAATACTTTTTAAAAGTTACAATATTTTGGAATATTTGTACGTATCAAGCTTTCAAGTCATTTCTTCATGTACCTTACTTGCTAGGGTTATCCTAACAAGAGTAAACTTGAGGCTAAAGGTCGTAAAGAAATAAGTCTATTTTTGTCATCATGTCCCTAACAAAATCAAAATGGTTAACCTTGTAATGAAGCAAATCATATTACTTAATAAGGAAATTGATTATCCTTGATATATTTTAGTCTTTCGATTCTTTTTCACATTTACCTTACCAGTTAAAATATTAAAAATGTATTTAAATATTAATCATATGTTAAAATAAATTTATATATCTATATAATAAATTGTTAAAACATACTAATATGAGTTGGTTCAAGTGATAAGTAATTTGATATCACTTAAGTCTCAAGTTCGAGTCCTTGTGTATGCAAAAAATCCCTGCTGGGAGACTCACCCACCAAAGTAAAAAAAATCACGAATAATTTGTTAAAATTGTAAAAAAAAATGTAAAATTAAGAAATATTAAATTCATGTTTATTATCTAGAATCGGTCTTATCTATAGTTTTTTTTATATTCACTCATAATATTTATTTTCAAAATTCACTATGAATTTACAAAATCATTAATTGTCTTTCTTCTCAAGAAATTCTTTACTTGTTTTAACGATTAGTTTTATTTCTTTTCAAGAAATTCTTTACTTGTTTGAACTACCAACTTTCTTTCTTCTCAAGAAATTCTTTATTTCGTTTGAACTACCAACTTTGTCCTTTTTAATCCGCAAGACATGGTCTTTTTTTCTCTCCTTAAATTGCCTTTTTAAGACATTGTTGTTCATTGTTTGAACATATACTTGTCATTCACTGCTATCCCATATTCAATTCTCAAAAAACACAAATGGAGATGAAAAATGAGAGAGAGATGAAGCATGTGTTCCATGAGCATCCCTTGGTGTTTGTGGAAGTGCAAAGCAGTGAAGCTGATCCCAAAGCTTACTGTTCTGGATGAAGGGAAGTGGTTTCAGCTCCATGCTTTACTTGTGTAGTCTGCAATTATCACCTTCATCAGAAATGTGCGGAGGCACCCTATGAAATTTTCAAACATCCTCTCCGTCCCAAGCACACCTCAGGTTTTTTCCTTCGAGATAGGCCCATTCGCTCTTCTGAGTATGGATATGATTGTGCATTATGCAAGGAAAATCGTATCATGTTCTTTTATGAATGTCATGCTTGTTTGTTTTCCCTTGACATCAAATGTTTTAATTTATCTTCTTCGCATAGCGAGGTCAACCAAGAGTCCAAACATGACTTCCACCAACATCCATTGACCTTCATTCAAACTCCCATGGATCTATTCAAAAGATTCAGCTGCCTCTGGTGTCTTCAACCATTGCTTGATGCTATCTATTTTTGTTTTCACTGTCCATCCTTTGTTTTCCATAAGAGATGCCTTGATGAGTTACCCGCTAAAATCCATCACCCTTCCCATCACCAAAACCCGCTTTCCCTTGAGTGTGAAAAGAATTCTCTTTTTTGCAAGCTATGTCAAACCCAACATTCCGGATACTTTTATTCTTGTTCACTTTGCCATTGTAATATCAATATTGAATGTGCTTGGCCGAGGTCCGTTGTCGAAGATAAAAGTCACCATCAGCACCCATTCACCCTATTGTGGAGACCAGGATCATTCATTTGTGACGCGTGTGGCACTGATGGCAAATATATTTCTTATATATGCTCTAAATGTTGTGTTGTCGTCCATAAAGACTGCACAAAACTCCCACGCATTATCAAATTCTCACGACATCACCACTGCCTTTTTCGCAAATATTTTCTTGAAAAAAGAGAGCTTACAAGGAAGGATTGCAAGATCTGTTTAAAGGAAGTGAAAGTAGAGCGTGGCAGTTACTCTTGTGTGGTACCAAGTTGCAATTACGAAGTTCATGTGAATTGTGCCTTGGAGGATAAAAGATTGTACGAGGTAATTGAGGAAGAATGCCGGTGTGAGGAGCTCAATGCAGCGACGCGGTCTTCCATCACTCGTGTTATTGAGGAGAATGAAGATGGGGAAGCCACAAAGATTGAACATTCCAGTCATGAAGGTCATTGTTTGGTGCTAGCAGACAAGATGGAGGAGGAAACTGATAGACAATGTGATGGGTGCATGCTGCCAGTCTCAACTCGGCTCTATTATTGTTCGGAATCAGATCCATTTTTGTCAATACACGAATTGAATGAATTTGACTCGAATTTGAGTTCTTAACAAAAAGAAATGAGCTATTTGATATCCAACTCGAAAAACTCACGAACAACTCGTATTGTTCCCATTGTGCCTTTTTTGGTGGGGTAGTGGCTTAATTGTAAGGCTATACATGCACTAAATTTTGACAATATTTTCACTTTGGATCCTTCTTTGTACATTTTACATTTTAAGTCACCTAATTTAATTTTTCTAATTTTGTTAATTCTCATGAAAAAAAACAACAATCGACTTAAAGTACATATGCAAAAAATAAAAGAAAAAAATACTTTGTTTTAAATGTAAGGATTTTGATACATTCAAAAATTAAGTGTTGAAAAAAATATTGTTGAATTTTTTTAATACTAAGTTTTATAACTATAAAAATTAGTTTATTATTTTATCTGATAAATTCAATTTTTATTTTTATTTTTTAAAATGACTTATTTTTAATTTTAATCCTATTAATATAATATTTTATATTATTTTTTAATAGCTTCGTGTAAAATTTAAATATAATAAATTATTTTTAGAAAAATAAATAATTTATTTTAAATACATATAAAAAACAAAGTCAACTTAACTTTTTCAATGTTAAGTTCTAATAACTATCTACATACTTATCTATTCAGCACTTTTTATATAAAAAATTAATATATTTATATATATATATATATGTTTTCTATCAAGTAAAAAATTAATATAAACATAAACCATATTTTTATTATATTACTTTTCATACTAAAGTTGAAAGCCTTTTTTATATAACACACACAAAAAAGACAAAACATATATGTTTGTAAGTTGAAACTGAATCCCATGACAAAGAAAATCTACAAAAGCCACCTTCTAGAAGTCTTAATATATATATATATATATATATATATATATATTATATGATTGAATTACACCGACTAAAACATTTTAGCTCTACACAAATTTAAAATTTTATGGATGAGTGAAATTAGACGGCTCAGTTTAATAGTAGAAAATAAAAAGATATTTAATTAAAAAAATAAAAAATTAGTCTCAATCGTCTATTTAATTTTCTTAAATCTATATAAAACTAATTTGAACTAACATTCTAATTTGATATTACTTGTTTTTCGACTCGAACATCGACCCAATTCTTACAACATTGATAATTATTTTTTATCTATTTACCTATTTTTATAATTATTAATATTTGACTCATTAATTTGATTAACTTGAATTGAATAATATAAAAATTAGGTTGAGCAACAAAACTTGATTGTCAAAAATTGATTTAAATCGTAATGTTTGAACTATTTATAATTCACAATCCAAACAAAATTACATTTAATTTTCATTTAATTTATAAATATAAAAATAAGTATCTTATATCTAAAAACTAATGAAATAACTCAAAAATGATACATATAAAATATTAATTATTGTTTATTTACTTGAAAACTTAATTTTTATTAAAAGGATACAAACTTTATCGAATAGTATTTAAAACTTATAAAATAAAATTATTTCTGTCAAAATAAAATACAGACTCTCAACATTCCAGGATAGCATAAAAATAAAAATAAAAATCCAAACTAATTAAGCAAAAAATAAAAAATTATTAAAAAAAATAAAAATTCAAACCAAATTAAACTATATACACTCATAATAAAACAATATTATAAATCAATCCTTATTTAGTTGACAATAAAATTTTAACCCTAAACATATACTTGGCATTTATCTATATTTATGTTTATAATCCTCCTATAATCGTTTTTAAAATAATTTGTTTAGTTTTATTCCTCTAGAAGCTGTCTAAATATAGATTGATATATATATATATATATATATATATATATATATATATATTGAAAGTTTTCTTCATCAAAACTAATCTTCTTTTTCACAATATTATTATACCTTGTTTTTCTTTCTCGATTCTTTAGTTTTCCATAGGTGCTGGAAAGTTGAATCATAAGCCTGGGAAAATATGCAACAAACTGAAGATTCCCGGCAAAATTTCCGAGATGAATCTAATGAAGAAACGCTTTCTCTTTCTGATCTTGTGATGAACAATGATTATTCAAATGAATTCTGGAACGACAATGATTTCTCAAAACAAGCGGAAACCGGCGATTTGTTTGAGTTCTTCAGTGAAGATTTTCCTGCTTCAGCCTCGATTTTTCCGGAGAACAACAACGAAAACGACAGAATCATTTTTTGTGGGAAAATAATTTCTTACAAAGAAAATGAAAATCAACCCAACGTTGGAAGCAAACCGAAGAGACGAAAATACAAATTCGAGCAAGAAAATGATGAGGAAAAGAAGGATTTCAGCTGTAGAAATGCCAAAAAGTGTTGTTTCTTTCCCTGGAAAATTTCATCGCCGCCTTCATTATTCAAGTCAAGAACATTTACTTCATCAAAATCAAAGAAAGAACCACAGACGCAGCGTTTCAACAAGGCATTTTCAATGCCGGCTTCCGTTTCCAAGTTCCATTTTCCGGACAGGAAAGTATCGACGTTGGCAACTCCGGTTAAATCAAAGTGGTATTTGTTTGGAGTTGGAGTTGGAAGGTTCCCAATGGAAATTGAGCTCAAGGACATGAAGATGAGACAGAGCAGGAAATATAGGCCAATGAAGTTTCCAGCACCGGACGACGGCGGTTTCGGTGGCGGCCCATCGGGAAATGTTAGAGGTGAAAAGGGAAGAAGATCAGGCAAGGCCTGTCGGAGGTTGCTTAATGTTCTAGGGTGTAAACAACCATGTTATGATCATTAATTTTCGATTTCAATTTCTTTGTTAATTTTCTCGTAATAGATCGTAACAACAGTCATTATATTTCACCGACATGACCGATTGAAAACAGGGATAGATATACCCTTAATATTTATAATGTGGCAAAATTATTTTTAGATTAATATGGTTATGTTAAAATATTTTTTTTGTAAGATTAATAAGCGATTTTAATGATTAAGTAATATTTTTAGAATGTTAATGGTTATAAAATAATTTAAATTAAATGATTATAAAAAAAATTAAATAAATATTATTTTATAGTCATTTAGACTATAAAAATATAATTAATTATAAAAGTAGTCGATATTTACCAATGATTTTATCAGAATCATGTGCAATTATTAGTAATCAAAAAAAGATTAGATTGAACCAACAAATAGATATATATTTAAATTGAATAAAAATATATATATAAAGATTAAATTAAATGAAAAATAAATTGATAATTATTACATCAAGGAAACATGTGTGCTTACGTAATGTTGATATTAAAATGAACCAGATCAAATAACAATTACGATACATGATAAGTCTTGACTCTATTTACAAAATGAGGACAATTTTACATATAAATTCTTCAAAAAATTAATTTGTAACTAATGTAAATTATTATTATTTATCTCACAACCATATGACACCTTGATTATTATATTTAAGTATTTAAATATAATATTTTTAAGCTATTCTTATTGACTTGTTAGAATTAGGAGTGTGTAAAAAAATTCGATCTGATTTATTGATTTGATCCAAAAATTTAAATCTTTTATATCTTTTTAATTTTTATATTGAATATATGAAAACAAAAACACGTATAAAATACGGATCGCCTAAATTTTAATTTTGTATTAATTAAAAATCCAATAAAATGGGCCTTTAAAGTTTATATAGATCCTAACTCAATGAATGAATAACTCATTAACCCACTAAATATAAAACCCATTAAAACTTAGGATGTGAATAATTATATATATAAATAGGTTAGGATTTATTTACACTATGTAAAACTCTTTTAGTTTTACACATGTTTAGGACCATTAGATGAGTGGAAATTAATGACTAAGACTAACTCCTTGTTTTTCCCCCAATAAATATCTTTTTTTTTCTTCCTAATTTTAATATCAATCATCTATTTTAACTCATCAAACGATCTTAAATCTGTGTAAAATAAAAAGAGTTTTACGCAATGTAATTGGATCATATCCCATAAAATATAGTAGAAGTTTAATTGATGTTTCATAAAATTATAAAATATAAAATTTAAATATGAATTTTTTTTATCGAATTCAGTTATGTTAATTTAAATAAACAATCTTAAGTTTGTAAACAAAATACTATTGAAGAGTTTTATATTTTGTTAAAAAAAGTATTAAAAATTTATGTACTCTCATTTTTAAATTTTTGATTCCCCACTACTTATATTTAATGAAATTTTTATAAACATGTTTTATCTAATATATTTTATGACACTCATATCACAAAATCTAATATATAAAATATATTTTATTTTAAATTTTTATGTCTATCAAGTAAAATTATTAAGGTAAAATGTACAAATGATTTTCGATTATAATATACTGCTTTGTCGAGTCACATAACTATTAAAAGTTATAGAATTGTCCCCCAATTATAGGACATTACTTTGTTATACCTTCAAACTATTAAAAGTTATAAAATAATCATTCGACTATTAATATGTTTCAAACTAATCTTTTCCCATTAAAAAATGACGATCTTTTGAGCTGAAAGTTAACTTGTCAATTGAGATATGATAAAATCTGATCTCATAATTGTTTGAGGTGTATTTTGTGGATCGAGTATCTATTTACATTATATCATTGAGTGAGTGCTTGAAATATTATGTCACCGAACTAATGCTTAAAGGTAATGATGGTTCCAATAGACATCATTAAAATATAATTTTATCATATCTCAATCAATAGGTTATCGTCCATCTCAAACAACCATCAATTTTTAATAGAAAAATATAAGTTTAGAACATATGAATTATAAGGTGACTATTTTGTAACTTTTAATAGTCATGTACTCAATAAAGTAATACACTATAATAAAAAAAATATTTTATAATTTTTAATAGTAGAATACTCAACAAAGCAGTGCCCGCCCTATAATCGAGGATCATTCATATACTTTAACTAATTATGTAATCTCAAATAATCTCTAAAAAAATGTTTTTCCCCTCAAAATAAAAATGAAAAACCGGTGTCCCTCAATAAATATCATCTAAAAATGCCATTTGATTCTTTTCCTCCATTTTTGCCATCTTTTCGAAGCTTTCTTTTGCAATATTTTCTCGCAAATTGTTTTTAATGCAAAATATGAAGAGAAAGAGAGAATTTTCCAATTTTAATTGAGATCGACAAATTTTCTCAGGTCCAGGTATTGAAAAGTTTCTCTTCTTTTCTCTATTCTGTGTTATTCTTTTTGCACAAATCTCCTAAGAAAAATTGTTAATTTTTTTATGATTGGAATTTGCCTAATTCTTCATGTCTTGGTTCAATCTTTGTTAATGTTGTTTGATGGTTTATTCCTATAATTTATTTTCGGAATTCGAATTTAATTTAATTGACTTTATATATATTATGACAATCATTTTAATTTTTAATTTGCGAATGAAATAAATAAATAAATCAAATGAGATGTGTTTAAGTAACAAAGAATGGAAACTGATTTAAGTTTAACGGAAATCAACTGAATTTTATGGTTCGAATTAGTTGTCTGTTTTTTGCTATTTTTTCTTGGTTCTATTTTCAATATTATTGAAGAGCTCTATATTTTATTTATAAATATTTCTCATTGGAATTAGAAATTAAATGTCTTTTCTTTTTTATTTTTGAAGAAGAAATTATTGAGAAATGGGGAAAAAAGGAGGCTGGTTTTATAGTGTGAAGAAAGTTTTAAGCCTTAATTCCAACAAAGATGAGGTTAATTTTAATCACTTTATTTATTTATATTTTCTGAAGAGATTTTGATTTTTTATTGCATTTTATTTTACCAGAAATCTCAAAAATCAAAGAAAAAATGGGCAACAACGCAGGATGGAACTCAAGGCGTCAAGTTAATCAAATCAGAAAATGAGAACAGCAAACATGCCAACTCCGTCGCTCTCGCCACCACCATGGTGGCGGCGGTCGAAGTTTTCCGTCTTACGAAGGTGCCACGCCACCCCAGGAAATCAAGGGAGGAAATAGCTGCCATTATGATTCAAACTTATTTTCGAGGATACTTGGTAATGAAATGCTTCCATTTTTTTTATATCCAAGTTTCTTAGGTTAAGGAATTCATGATAATTTCGGGTTAGATTAAATCGTGACTCAAAATTCTTGATCATTATGTGTTCTTAGGGTCGGAAGGAATTGCGAGCTTTGAAAGGGTTGGTGAGGTTGCAATCGTTAATCGAAGGGCAATCCGTAAAACGACAGGCGACGACTGCATTAAGATGCATGCGGACGCTCGCTCGAGTGCGGTCGCATGTTCGGACAAGGCAGATTTTAATGTCCGAACAAAACCGATCACTTCAAAAGCAGATTCAACAAAAACACGAGAAAGAGTCGCAAAGCTCTAAATCTGTTGTAAGTTCCTCGGAGAAAATCAGAAATCGATTTGAGTTATAGTACATTCAATATGTCCGGTTCAGTTCGGTACGATCGATTTTTTTTTTTATAATCTTAACAATTATTTCGCAGACGGGGGATGATTTTAGTGTCAGCACAAAGTCTAAGGAGCAAATGGCAGCGAAAGAACAATATAGACTAGCAGCAGCAATGCGAAGGGAGAAAGCTTTAGCTTACTCATTTACTCGCCAGGTTTCGGGTTTTACTTTCTATCGATATTGTTAGTGTTATAACAAGAAATATGTCATTAGATTTCGATTTTCCGTTCCGATTCGTATATGTATCAGATTTCATCTATCTTTTAGTACTTCCGTGTAATTCGGTTTTTAGTTTAACAGAGACCGTGGAAGAATCCTTTAAAACCAGTGAATCAAGCATTTATGGATTCGAAAAAACCTGAATGGAGTTGGAGTTGGTTAGAGCGATGGATGGCAGCTCGACCATGGGACATTCGAAGCACATCGAATAACAATGATCGTGGTACGAATAAAACTACGGGTCCTCGAATCCCTAGAGCTAAGTCTCAAATTGAGCCTAACAATGATAATGATAGGCGATCTCCGACCCCGGCCAAACCGATTCGACCACCAATCCGCCGGTCCACTTCAACACCACCCTCTAAGATACATTCTACTTCATCAGCTTCTAGCAAAATAACATTGCAAAGCCCAAGTCCGACGCAAACTTACTTGTCCGATAGTTACAAGAGACATAGCATCGGGGCCTCATCATCATCATCGACAGACTATGAGATATTTGAAATCTCACCTCCAAATCCTATTAACAAAACCTCGTCACAAATGCCAACAAGGGACCGACCCCGATTTCCGAGCAATGGAACGTCAGATAAGGGATCAGCAAAGCCTCCAAATAGACGGCTTTCATTACAACCATCCCCGGCAAGGAGTCGGACACTTTCTGGTCCTCCGAAGGTCACTATGTCACCTATTTAACGAAAAAAATCGAAGAAAGTCCGAGCTATGGTGAAGTTATGTAACATATGAAGCATAGACACTTCTATCATGAAAATGTTTTAACATTCGATTCGTGTTCGACCGGAATCGTTTCGACATGGTAAAATGTGTTGGGCACACAATGACATGTAAAAGAAAAAGATTTGATATTTTTTCTTTTTGCATTTCCCCAAATATAGAATCAATAATATGACAGTTGATTCTACCAACTCTTTTAAGGGTTGAGTTTTCTAATTCTAAAATGATGTTAACGTTATTGAAAAATTATTTACATAGTTATATTTATCTGAAAAATATTATTTTTCTTCTTTTATATTATAATAATATACAAACATTATTGATGTTGTTTGTCATATTAATATACGTATTAAAAAAGTATTATATTTATTGATTTACAATTTGAAAAAACAAAATCGGTGATGTCTGATTCTGATTCATCCCTTCTAATTTAGATAAATAGTCGTTGGAGGTGAATATAAAGATGTCGACTAGCGACACTTCTCTCTCATGACATATGGGTTTTCTTATATAATTTGTCCCTAATGAGTCATATATCTTATTTAATCAGAGAAAATGATTAATAGATTAGGTTATCTTATGTGAATAAAGATGTACTAAAAATTACAAAATACAAAATAGTTATGAAATTAAAAGATAAAAATTATCAAATAATATAATATTATATATATTATATAATATTTTATGACCAATTTTTACTATTATCCATGTGCTAATGTAACCTAAATTAAGTTATTAATTACCATATTCATTATTATAAGCATTTGTAAACTCTTCGAATCTTCAAAAGCCAATGTAACAGATAAACATTAGGTCAATATAATTTTTTTTATGAATACGTACCCTATAATATTATATTATTCAATGATTATTATTCTTTTTCATATCATATGGAATCTCGAACTACAAAGTTGAAAAAATGTTTCAATATTATTTTATCTAAGCTGGCTTTTGTTGACTTCGATCAATTATATTTTGACAATGTTAATAAAAAAAGGTAAAATATACAAATGATCCTTCGACTATAGAACATTAATTTCTTAAGTTCATTGACTGTTAAAAGTTACAAAAATAATCATCCGACTATTCATTATGTTCCAAACTCATCATTTTCCGTTAAAAAACCAACGGTCGTCTAAGCTGGACGTTAACATGATGTCTGAGATATGATAGTCTTTTGAGATTATGAGATCAGTTTTTATCATATCTCAATCAGCAGATTAACGTCCAGCTCATATTGTAGTCAATTTTTTAACGAAAAAGGACGAGTTTAAAACATATGAATAGTCGGGTGACCATTGTATAACCATTGATAGTCGGTGACTTAACAAAACAATGTTTTATAGTTAGAGGACCATTTTATAATTTTTAATAATCGGTGACTCAATAAAACAAGATCTTATAATCAAGGGATCATTTGTATACTTTACCCTAAAAGACAGACCGATTAGTTTAACTGAAAATTTATAGATTATTCAGTTCATTATATGATTTAGTTATGAAATTGTAAAGATTAGATAATTATAATAAAAATATGTGAAACATTGAATAAGGGTAAATTGGCGTTTTAAAACTTTTCATTTTGTGTTGGAATTTGGGTTCTTTTTACTTGGTGTAAAAAATTGATGAATCTTAGGGGAAAAGTGGAAATTTATGTTTAAATAACATGAAATTGACCATCTTTAGGCTGTTTAGGGGGACGGAATCGATTTCCGATTTAATTCAAGTAGTATCAGAAGCTCCTTTCAGCTTTTGAATTGGCTGAAAATTTGGGTTTTCAATTCGTCTCGTGATATTTGTGTGTTTTTTTTAAGTGTAGAATATTGTTGTTGTTGAATCTGAAGAGAACTGCACATTTTGAGTTTGTATAATAGAAATTGGACGTGATTTTTAGTATGTGTAGGGGAATGCAATCGATTTTTTATTCTATCCAAGTAGTAAAAGAAGCTCCCTTCACTTTTTGAATTGGTTGATTTTTTTTCCGGGTTTATTAAATTGTTGAATCTTAAAGAAAGGTGCAATTTTTTAGTTTGTATGATAGGAAATTGTCGAATTTTAGGCTGTTTAAGGGATTTGAATCGATTTTCGGTTCAAACCGATAGGATTCAAGTAGTAAATGAAGCTGTTCTAACCCTTTGGATTGGCTGAATATTTTGTTTTTGTCAATTTGTCTTTGATTTTTTATGCATTTTGGGTTCATTGACCATTGGATACGGTTGTTTTTTAATCTCAGTGTAGAAAATGATGTCTAAAAGTGATCCGGTCGGATCGAGTCTGCATTGGATTCGATTTATAAAAGAAGCAATTTCACCTCTTGCATTAGGTATTAGGAAAGCTGCTAAAGATCTGGAACGTTGTTGGGTAGTGTCAAATGACAAAACAAATAAGTTTGAATTGATTGTCCCATTGAATGGTAGTGGTAGTGATAGGAATGGTAAGGTTCAAATCTTTGGTGGGAAGAGCAGAATCGATGTTAATAATCACTTGAGTCGTGTTGATAGGGAAGAGAGAACAAAAGGGTTATCTATAAAGGTTCCGATCAATGTTTTTGTCGGAATGTTTTCACCGGAAAATGAGTCGAACAATGTGAAGGTCGAGGCAGTTAGGAAAGGACTGAGAGGAAAAGATGTTGATAGAGTTGAAGAGACTTGTATGAATTGGTTGCTGTTTGCAGTAACTTGGTCAACCATGGTTAACAGATTTGCCCAGGCTATACCAAGCTCGTTCAAGTCTGGGAGGAAGCTGATTCGGGAAATGGATGACAATAAATGGTGTCTAAGTTTGTGTACTCATAACATGGAATCAGAGGTTCCATTTGAGGTTAAGTGCAGAGAGTCTAAGGCTCGGGTTGTCATGAAGAATGAGAGTTTGGAACATAATAATGATCGGGAAAATGTATCGTTTGAATGCTTTATAGGGAATGCATTTGATCATATGACTCAAAAGATCAACCATTTAAAAGCCATAACAAGTATTTGGGAAGGTCGAAAAATCGATGTAAATGGATTTTTGGGAAATTTGAATTTTGCTAGAGTGGGAGGCGTTCGGTCTGGTGTTGTTGGAGTTTCTTCTTCCATGAATAAAGAGGGAAATGATGGTGATAGGAAGGATGATACAGAAGGAACCGGTGGTAATTCATCACAAAAACTGGCTGATCAGATACTTAGCAATCCTCTGTCAAATATAGAGCGTTTGAGTTCGACCTTACCGACAGTCTCAGTTACAGATTTGACTGAGCCTCTACCACCGTTGGGCCGATCCTTGCAAGACCATCCGAACAAGAAGATATTATTCTCTGTCCAGGAGTTCTTCAGATATACCGAGTCTGAAGGTATGGTTTATCAGACAGCTTAGCAAACAATTAGTAATGCATCTTTTTTTTCCCATATTTTATTTGGTTCTTTGAATAGCCAAATCTGTGAAGAAATTTATTATGTTGTAGACTATGATTAGCATGGTTTAAAGTATAGCTTTCTCAGATTATGTAGTGTCTTTATCTTCATGCTGAAAATGCTGGAACTGGGTAGTTCTCGATTCTGGTTTCTTGTTAACTCCTTTCCACGATCCATATTAAACTCAGAAATCGAGTTTTTCATTAGGTCACGTAATTCAGTATTGTCTAATGTGATTAGTTATACTGCAGTGTACTACTCATTTACATCCGAGTCTGAGTTACATAGTTATCGACATTTACCGTCGATTATTCTTCCAGGGAGGAGGTTCTTCACAGAACTGGATAGAGATGGCGATGGCAAAGTAACTTTAGAAGATCTTGAAGTTGCTTTGAGAAATAGAAATTTGCCTCAGAGATATAGTCGGGAATTCATGCGCCGGACTAGAAGAAACCCATTTTCGAAATCCTTTGGATGGAAGCAATTCTTGTCCTTGATGGAACGGAAGGAGCCAACCATACTTCGAGCTTATACTAATCTTTGTTTAAGCGAATCAGGGACTCTGCAAAAGAGTGAAGTGTTGGCATCACTTAAAACTGCCGGACTTCCAGCTACCGAAGACAATGCTGTTGCTTTGATGCGGTTTTTGAATGTGGGCAGTGAAGAATCTGTTTCTTATGGACACTTCCGCAGATTTATGCTTCTGTTGCCTTCTGAGCGACTACTTCGAGATGATCCTCGGTAAGATTAATTTTCCACTTGAAGGATTTTATTTCAAATCTCTAGTTGAAGCACAAGGTTGAAATTTAATTTACTGTTGTATCATCTTTGGTTCTGGCTGCACTTTTAGGAGTTCAAACGTTGGATTTATTTTACGTCTTGAACTCAAGCTCAAACACAAATAGTCAAGCTTCTTTTTGTATTAAATACAGGAATATCTGGTTTGAAGCTGCTACTGTAGCTGCTGCTGCACCATCTGCAGAAATACCAGCTGAAAGTGTTCTTAAATCCGCACTTGCCGGGGGTCTTTCGTGTGCATTCTCCGCAGCTGTAATGCATCCGGTTGATACTGTAAAGGTACACTCTTCAGCCTAATGCCGTTTTTATGTTTTCAAGCATTACAGTTCAAAAGCAAGTTTTTATTCATAAAGTTGTGTTTATGATACGCCATTGGGATTTTTCATATTTGTTTTCCTTTTTTCTCTTCCGTTTTTTACCTTATCAGACTCAAGTGCAAGCGTCAACCACTCTAACATTCCCAGAAATCATGTCGAAAATTCCTCAAATTGGATTACGGGGGTTATATAAGGGTTCCATCCCTGCAATTCTTGGACAGTTTTCAAGGTTTTATGCATTTTGTTCTTGTTTACCGTTCATTGTCCTTACGTAGCTTATTTTTGTGATCGGTTTTCTTTCAACATTGCAGCCATGGATTGCGGACAGGAATATGTGAAGTAAGCAAGGTTGTATTGATCAACGTTTCTCCAAACCTCCCCGACATTCAGGTACTTCTTAACTATTTACACGGTTACTTCCCATTCATGCTTGATTTGTTAGTTCCTGAAGTTATGCACATTGCACCTTTGTTATTCGTACTCGGGTTTAAGTACCTGACACTTGCACCCGAGTCTTAGTAACGTAGAGTAGAAGCGCGCATTCAAAGAACTCTCTGTGCATGAATGTGAACAATAACCAAAATTGACCTAATTGTTCTAGTAAATTTTGTTTCATTGATACTCGATATACTTATGAAAAGGAAGATTCAAACTTAAAAAATTTTCATACTTAACTTCCGTGTACCCCAGAAAGGAATGAATCATATTAAATTTATTTTCATATTGATTTGCAACAGCAAGTTAAAATCTCATTTCCGTTCTCTGTAGGTTGATTCCATGGCATCATTCTTCGGTACTGTTCTGGGAACAGTGGCCCGGTTACCTTGTGAGGTACTAAAGCAGCGTTTGCAGGCTGGCCTTTACGACAATGTTGGAGAAGCACTTATCGGTACATGGCAGCAGGATGGTCTGAAGGGCTTTTTCCGTGGGACAGGGGCCACACTCTGTCGTGAGTTGCCATTCTATGTCGCTGGGATGGGCCTTTATACAGAATCGAAAAAGGTATGTATTTTGTTCTTCACATTGAAAATTTTCATTTCACCAAATTATTTACCTGCATCCTCAAAGCCCATGCGTTGGCATGCCAATGGAATGTAAGCTTGTTCCGATCACCCTGGCAGTCCGCATTAACAATGCATATGGTAATAAACTACCGATTTGCGGTTCTAATCGATGCAAAGAAAAACATGAGAGAAAAAAAGCAGCTTTATCGGACAAATTGCGTCTCCCGCTATATCATATATGGACTCTGTTGAATTCTCAGAATCTAATCATAATTTTCACGGTTATTTCTATACGAACTATATTTTTTCTTCTGCATGTTTCAGCTCGTCCAACGACTTATAAGGCGGGATCTAGAGCCGTGGGAAGTGGTTGTTGTCGGAGCTATATCAGGAGGGTTAGCTTCTGTTACTACTACACCTTTCGATGTCATCAAAACTAGAATGATGATTGCATCCGGGGGCAGATCCACATCAATGTCGGCAGTAGCCGTTTCCATACTCCGTCACGAGGGACCCCTCGCTCTGTTCAAAGGAGCTGTACCGAGGTTTTTCTGGGTTGCTCCCTTAGGCGCCATGAACTTTGCCGGCTATGAGCTGCTGAGGAAGGCCATGGATGGAAACAAAGACGTGAGCACGGATCCGGTCTCCGAAAAGAAATTGACCAATTCCGGGTTAGATCCAAGTTCTAAAATATGAATCATAATCCGCTAATTTCCGTTTGATTCATTGTTTTTTTTTTTAAAAAAAAAACCTTTTATGTCATGATTTAAGCCTTAAGGTTGTTTTCAGTAACACTGAAACCGATTCGAATTTAATAAAACCGAACTGAAATTGAACCGAATACTAACGGTTTGATAACCTATACCTAATTCTAATAATGTAGACCTCCTAGTCATGAGAAACTCGAGGGGGACGATAAAGCCAAAAATTAGTCAAAGAATATTAGTAAAGAAACTAGCTAGTTTGACAAGTAACTAATCAAATAACTATTTTACAAGTTTTCTTTAAAACAAAAATAAATTAGGTAACCAAAATTGCTTTTAATTCAAAATTTGGGTGACTTTGTGATGTACACATTCCAAGTTGTCATTTAAGTCAGAACTTATATTTCAAATAGAATAATTTGACCATAAAACTAATCACATTATTGAAAGGAGAAAAAAATTCCAATCATGTTAAGTGTTATTATATCGTCATTTAATTTTGGAGGCTAAACTATGCGAATAGTCCCTTTTGTTTAGGGTATGATTGATTTTGGTCATTAATTTAAAAATTAAGGGTAAGTGGTCCCTCACATTATTGGTTCATTAGGTTTTAGTCCTTCTACTATTAATTTCTGTTAATCCCCTTTTGTTTAAGGGAATTAACGGCCGAGGGACTAAATCAAACATATCGATAACATTAGGGATTAAAATCGAACGAATCAATAACATTAGAGATCACTTCCCCTTAATTTTTAAATTGGTGATTTTAAATTGGTGACCAAAGTCAGATAAAAAAACATAAGGGACTGTTCGCATAGTTTACCCTAATTTTGGTTGAAAAAAAATTCTATATCATCGAACATTAAATCAAAAACGAATGTATGCTATGGTAATAGCATGTGCTGAAGTGGATCACTTTTGATTGATATAGTAGTCATTTTTGTTCTTTTATCTTCTTTCTTAAAAGAAGATTTTATAGTGAATATCGAAATTATCTTTCTTTGATATCTTTTCTTATCACTCAATACATTTATGAATTTGTCTCATCGTATTTTATCACTCAATGAATTAGAAAAAAATCAATATTGAACTCGTGAAATTTAACTCAAAATCTGTAAAATCTCAAATCATTTTAATCTATTATATTCACCATCCGATCAACATAAAATCAAGATATATAGTTTGTCTCTTAACTCACTTTTCCAACGTTGAGCTTTGAAAGAAGATATTTCATCGTCAAGAAATCATAGAAAATTCTAAATCAGAGTTTTTTTACAAAATAAATAAAGAAAATTTTGGGATCATTTCATAATTTTTGAAAGACAGATGCCTAATTATAACGATGTTAAGTATTTAACAACAAAGTGATTAAGTTAGGAGCAAATAAAAAGTTCAATAATTAAATTTAAATTTTTTTAACTCTAATAACCAAAATAGGAGTGAAAAAATTAAGTGATGAAATATACAATTTACCTTAAAAATTAAAGAATTAAAGTTTTGCTTTGGCCAAAAAGGTTTGGTTATTATTTAATTTATAAAATTAACCTTAAGATTATAGTACCTAACATATTAGTACCAAACTACCAACACTTTTACACAAAATAATAAAAACATCAGGGACACTTTTTCTACCATAAAACTAAATTACCTGATTGAAAATTCTCTAACTAAAAATAAAAAATTTAATTTATTAAAAATGTAACCATTTTTTTCATCAAGTCCAAAGAGGCTCCCAAGCAGAAGCAAGATTATTATCATCAAGAAAACAAGCGGTATCAATTTGCTGAGAACCACTGTTGGTTTGAGTCATTTCCAAGATGATGGCTACCAAATTGGCTTGTTGCCATTGCATTGTGACGATTTCGGCTTGAGCCTTGGCGAGCTGCCCTTGGAGCTCGCTCACCTGTTTTTGAAGTTGGCACACGGCCCCAGCGCAACCGTACACGGGGTCACGGATCCGAGCGCTCGCCTCATACACCATGCTGTTTATCGCGTCGGTTCTTTGTAATTCTGGTAATTCCTGAAGAAAATTTTAGTTTTTGTTCAAAAAAAACGAATTAGATCGATTTTGATGAGCATATAGAAGTTAAATTTAACACAATAAGATTTGTATGAGTTCGATTTTGATAAAGATTTAATTTGAAATAATACATTGTTTGAGATTCGAGTTAATCAAATTAAATAGATTCGAAACATATAGATCATAATTAAATAAAGATTTTATCCTATTTAATCGGACTCAAACCACAAAAATAAGTCATTGAATCCGATTTAAATCGAACACGAAAACGAAAATTTTGAGAGATTTTTTGTAATAATGACTTTAGTAGGCAATTTTGTTGCATGTCATTGGCTTGTCAACTTCGATTTTTTTTAATTTTTTTCCAATATTCATTTCAAACATATGATTCATTTATAATTGTTAAATTGAGTAATTATTCATTTGAAATGTTTAATTAATTGTAAACAATTTCGCTATAATATTTAAGTTTCTTATATAATATATTATAATATTCTAGATTGCATTTAAATTATAATCATTTTTTGAAAAACAAATAGCAGATAAATGAAAATTTAATGGCAGTTTTGGCGCGCACACAGAATTTTAAAAACGAAAATTACCTGCAAAGACTTGATGATATTGCTTGCACCAAAAACTCGATGAGCAATGGTGAATTTATAAGGCTCCGTCGGAGGAAAATAAGGCGCTAATACACACTTCTCGACGCAGCGGCGGCGAAGGATTTTGCAGGCAGCGCAAGGGCTGAGAACAACCGTTGGCGGCGGAGATTGAGAATTTAGGGAAGGAAAACACGGCAAAGGAGAAGAAGAAGGAGATTGAGATAGAGAGGATGAAAATTGGGCGCATTTTTCATTGTTTTCCATTGTTTAAATAAGCAAAGGAACTTAAAAATATATATAGACGAGATTACTTTTAGTTGAAAAACAGGGGAAGGAAAGCTATATAAATAGAGCAGAGCAAAGAGAATAAATAATAATAATAATAATAATAATAATCACTTTTAAATTTATGTTGCTCAAATATTTTTTACACCTCTTCAAAAATAAATTTTATAACAAACTATTTATTTAGTATCTTATTTATTTTATTTTTTTAGTTATTCAATAATTTTTTTAAATTATAATTATTTTGATACATGTCGTTAAAATATTAATGATAATATTAACGTGACATTTTTTTTAATTTTCTACGTCATTTTCTCTTTCTCTTAATCTGGAACTCAATTATCATTTGAGAATATGATGAAGCATTATAGGAATGAATACTTGACCCGAATCTAATAGTTTTAAATCTTTAACTTTTCAAGTTAAATAATACAAAATGCAGAATGTGTAATAAAGCAGTGAAGGTTGTGCAACACGTGCTTCGAATATGAGATCCAGCTAGGATAGGATGGTTCAAAACTAATATCGATGGGGCTGTGTGAAATTTTGATAATGTTGTTGGCGTCATTAGATATAACGTGTCTTTGATTTCTTTAAAAGTTTAAGAATTTGTTCAGTATTTACGGCTGAGTTGTGGGCTGTGTATGATATTTTACGACATGCATTGAACTTAATATGCATGAAAATTATAATGGAGACAGAGTGCTTGGAAGTGGTTCAATTACTCTGCTATGACACAAGAACATTAAAAGAATTTAAGGTATATATAAATGTGAAAGAGAGACACGTGATGTTAAAGAAAGGAAGGAAGACAGGTGACGATGTTTGAATGTTGTCACAATTTTGTCGTATGGGGGAATTAAACTTCAACGCAAGTTCCATGTTTTTAGTAACTAACCCAATTATCTACTAATTAAAGATAACAGTAACATTGAGATCCATTAATTGATGGAGTGATTAGAGATATTTATGTTATTTATTTTGTATATATTTGAATTTTGATATTTATCTTAAAAATGTAATATTTTTCTATTCAATTAAAAAGTGATAATAATATTATTAACACTAGATAGAAAAAAATAATACAATATTAAAAAATTATAATATGGATAAGAAATTTAAATACATTTAAATATATTAAATTTTATATAATTTTGAATAAATTACAATTTATTCGCTAAACTTTAATCTCTCATATTTCACTCACTGTATTTTTATTTTTTTAAATTTAATAACTGAACTTTGTACATTGAATTTTTTTATCACCCCACCGTTAATTTTGTAATTATTAAATAATTTCTTAATCAATAAAATTCAAGTTAGAAAAAGAAACTATTTTCTCTTCATTTCTCTACTCAACCAGAATGAACCCCGATTTCGATCACCATGTCGGTCGTTAATCTGATCACCGTCGGCCAAACAAAGAAAAGAGAAAAAAAAGAGGTTTAGTAAGAGAAAAAACAGGAGAAAAATGGATTTCGAGAACCCAATATAATCTCACTGTTCCACCATCTCCGATAACCTTCAACCACCGTTCGAGGCCCTTTTCTACCACCGACACTACCTCCACCCTAACCGCCATAAACCTTCGTCATCTTCACCTTAAACACACTCATTAGAATCACCACACCCATACACACTACCATATTACCATCTACCTAAATAACCTCCAAAATCACCATTGCAACATGAAATAATCATAATCACTGTTGATTTTAAAATAGATATATTCGAATCCATGACTTCTTTAAAAGATATTAATTAAAAATTCAATGTTCAAGAATTTTTTTCCTATTCATTGCAACAATGGGATATTTTTCTTGAATTTAAAAATCAATAAAATATTTTCATTCGAAAAAGTAAAAATATTAATTCCATGTTTAAGAAAATATTCCAAAATAAAAAATAATGCACCGTCGTGAACACGTTTTTTCATGTTTGCGTGACCAACTAGTTGAAAACAAAGTAAAAAAAACATAGCACGTGAGTAACACGAGAAGGTTGAACAGCACGTCACGTTGAATCATATAATTTTACATAATTTCTCAGATACCAAATCACAATTTATATATCAACGTGATAAAATTTAATATAATATAAGATACAATTTAAATATTTTTAAAGTTAAATATAAGATAAAATCACAACCGTAAGTAATATATATCTGGACATATTCAGATTAAAATTAATTATCTGGTCATTAAAGCCTTGTGATCTTTGTTGTTTTAAGTTTAAGTCTTATTATATATAAACAATGTGTGATTCCTCTATAAAAAAAACAAATTATCTACATATAAATATTTTTCAGATGATTTTTAATTATTACTGTTTGTTTGGCTTGAAAAAGAAATAGATGAAAATACAGCTGTAATTACTCCATGACCATGAGATGCCTTTTGTTCGTTACCAAACATGTCACATAAAATATTCCAATTAACTCTCGTTATGATTGCATCCGTCCAGATATATTTTAGTTATTATTTGCATTCATAATTATGATTGTAATTATAATTAAGAAAATTATAGAATCATAATTAAAAGAAAATTAAGTGAAACTATCACAGGTTCATGTTATTTTCTTAAAAGTATGATACAAGTGTATTAATTAAATATTTTTTTTGCTAAAATAATTATTTTATCTTTAAGCGTGTTCAATGAGAGGCCTGCCATCCAAATTATGTACTTAAAAAACGAATTTAATTATTTTTTAATTAATCATCGGTGTATGATCTATTGACTGACTAATACATATCGGGTAGTGCTGAAGCAAGGGCGACCCTTCCAACCCAATTTGTTCCATTCGTAAAAGCCAAAGTTTGAACCTCTAACATCGCTTAAGGAATCTAGTGTCTCAAAAATATTAAATAAAGTTATTTTTAATTATTTTTAGCAAAATAACGGTTTTAGGACAATGAAAGTTTTATTTCGAAAGCCTCCAAAATAATAGTCTGAATAACATCCATTTTTATGTTCAAACACTGAAGAGATTTGAATGCCTTTCGTTATGTTATCCATGCATGCTTTTTACCAGACGTGATGATGTTTTTTTATGCATTTTTTAATTAAGGGAAATTATAAATTTTATCACTGAACTTTCTTTTTACTCTTATTTTGGTCATTAAAGTTCTAAAAAAAATCAATTTGCTCTAAACTTTTGATTTGCTCCACTCTACCATTAATACTTGACAACATTATGAATATATATTTTTAAAAAATATAAAATGACCCCGAATTTTCTTTATTTTTCTAAAAAAACTCTAATTTTGAATTCCTTTTAATTTTTCGAGGATGAAACATCTTTCAAACCCTTAATTTTGTCCTTTTATATATAATAAAAATGTGTTTAAAATTTCAAGCATTATTGTTTAATGAAAATTTAGTCAAATTTGAGTTGTTATGTCTATGAGTCTAATCATTTTAGTATATAGGGGAATATTTTTCTCTTTCTTTCCTTCTTCCAAACTCTTTCTTATGATTCATTTATATATATATATATATGAAGTGATCGTAAATTATCATTACCATGCAAAGCCAGAGAAGTTTCTTCGACATAAAGGCAAAATCATTACTCTCTTTAATTTAACTAGTTAGGGAAAACCATAAATCTTTTGTTTATGTTAAAAATATTAATTTTAAACCTTTTTTTCTAACACGATAAATGGATTTGAAAAATGCCACGTGTCTCATTTATTTTTAATTTATCACAGTATTATGTGATATTTTGCTATCTTTTTAAAAAATAATAATATTTACTAACAACAGTTAATCTAGTGGGATGATACACTAGATTCTTTAAGCAAGGTCAAGGGTTCAAACCTTGACGTTTTGGAATGGAACAAATTAACTTGAGAGGGTTGCCCTTGCCTATACAGTATCCGATTTCGATTAGGCGATCAAAAGATCGGATATCATTGATTAATTCCAAAAGAATCATATTTTCTTTACTTACAAACTTTATTAAAATTAAACAAGAATCATCATCATCGATAAATCTTTCGTTTACACTTTAATATTTTCCCCAGCTTAATATTCTTTCTTGAGTTTAAAGTCAACAAAAAGAATCATTAAAAGTACTCAACTTTAAACTATACTTTGTTAGTGGGACAAATCATGGTCTACAGTTTGTTTTCAACAAAAGGAACCAAAGTGAATTGTGTTTGCAGCAATTTCAAACTTTGAAAGGAAATTTTTTTTCTAATTTTTATTTTTCAAAAATAATCTTTAATTAATTCTCTAATAATAATAATAATAATAATAATGTTCAAACGAGATACTAATGTTTGTTGTCGGGAATGCAAAATACTGTTGTTGTTGTTTTTTTTGGTAAATTTGTATTTTCATAATTTAAAAAAGATTTAAAAGCCAATATTCGCGACAAATTGCTTAGAATACACCTTAAGAATCAAATCGCGTGTTTGCTAGATTTGTTTTTAGATTTATCACGCCTCCTAGGGATATAAATTGATGTAAGTATTCGTTAGGTCCTTTTATTATAAGGATCGATTCAAATTAGTCCTTATACTATTACATTGTTCAGTTCAGCTATTATTCTAGTAAAATGAATCAAATAAGATTAGCTTTAGAGTTAGCATATATGGTTTAAGGAATAATATATAAATACCTTTATTTACATTTTAATTTCAAAACAAAGATTTAAACTATAAAAACTTTAAAAAATATTAGTTAGTTCTATAAAACATTGTCTTATTTAATTATCATCCATTAATATCAGGATTAAATTAATCATTTTAATAATAAAGAGACTTGATAAATACTCAGGATTAAATACATTTTTTTTAAATATTGGATGAGTGAAGATAGATAATTGAAATTAACAATAAAAGGTGATAAGATTTTTTTTATAAAAAAATTGGTTATCTTCAATTTTAAAACCTTTAATCTCAATAATCAAACTTAAACAATTGAGATAGATAATAATTTGAATTCGATCGCATGTAATATATCAATAAAAAAATATAATTTACTCTTTTAACATTAAATCTTAAATCTCTATTTTCAAGAAAAAGAGTAAAATTATTTGGTGTAGGTTATTATTTAATTTATAAAATTAACCTTAAGATTATAGTACCTGACATATTATTACCAAACTACCAACACTTTTACACAAAATAATAAAAACATCAAGGACACTTTTTCTACCATAAAACTAAATTACCTGATTGAAAATTCTCTAACTAAAAATACAAAACTAAAATATTAAATTTAATTTATTAAAAATGTAACCATTTTTTTCATCATGTCCAACTCCCAAGCAGAAGCAAGATTATTATCATCAAGAAAACAAGAGGTATCAATTTGCTGAGAACCATTGTTGGTTTGAATCATTTCCAAGATGATGGCTGCCAAATTGGCTTGTTGCCATTGCATTGTGACGATTTCGGCTTGCACCTTGGCGAGTTGCCCTTGGAGCTCGCTCACTTGTTTTTGAAGTTGGCACACGGCCCCGGTGCAACCGTACACGGGTCACGGATCCAAGCGCTCGCCTCGTACACCATACTGCTTACCGCGTCGGCTCTTTGTGACCCTGGTAATTCCTGAAGAAAAAAATTTAGTTTTTGTTCATAAAACGAATTAGACCAGTTTGATGAGCAGATAGAAGTTAAATTTAACACAATTCGATTTGTATGAGTTCGATTTTGATAAAGATATAATTTGAGATAATACATTGTTTGAGATTCGAGTTAATCAAATTAAATAGATTCAAAACATACAGATCATGATTAAATAAAGATTTTATCCTATTTAATCTTACTCAAACCACAAAAATAAGTCACTGAATCCGATTTAAACTGAACACGAAAACGAAAATTTTGAGAGATTTTTTTTGTAATAATGACTTTAGTAGGTAATTTTGTTGCATGTCATTGGCTTGTCAACTTCGATTTTTTTTCCAATATTCATTTCAAACATATGATTCAATTATAATTGTTAAATGAGTAATTATTCATTTGAAATGTTTAATTAATTGTAAACAATTTCGTTATAATATTTAAGTTTCTTATATAATATATTATAATATTCTTGATTGCATTTAAATTATAATCATTTAAAAAAACTTTAGATTTACGGGGAATCTTTTCTCATATATTAATTTAAGTATTTTTTTAAAGAATATTAATTAAGTTTTTAATATATTTTTTTATTTTGTTCCTTGATTGTTTCTCAATAAATTATTTACTTGTTTGAGACACCAACTTTATTCTTTAATCCCACAACGAACAAGAATCATATTCCCTCTAATTGATATTTATAAGAAATTGTTTGAACATTGAGTTGTCATTCACTACCATCTCATAGTATTCATTACTCAGACAAAAACACAAATGGATAATGAAAATGAGAGAGAGATGAAGCATGTGCTCCATGAGCATCCCTCGGTGTTTGTGGAAGTGCAAAGCAGTGAAGCTGATCCCAAAGCTTACTGTTATGGATGCAGGGAAGTGGTTTCAGGTCCATGCTTTACTTGTGCACTCTGCAATTATCACCTTCATCAGCAATGTGCGGAGGCACCCCTTTATTTAATTTCCAAACACCCTCTACATCCCGAGCACACCTCAGGTTTTTTTCTTCGAGAAAGACCCCATTCTGAGTATGTATATGGTTGTGCATTATGCAAGGAAAAACGTGACATGTTCTTTTATGAATGTCGTACTTATACTTGTTACTTTTCCCTTGACATCAAATGTTTTAATTTATCTTCTTCGCATAGCGAGGTCAACCAAGAGTCCAAACATGATTTCCACCGACATCCATTGACCTTCATTCAAACTCGCATGGATCTATTTAAAAGATTCAGCTGCCTCTGGTGTCATCAACCATTGCTTGATGCTATCTAATTTTGTTTTAACTGTCCATCCTTTGTTTTCCATAAGAAATGCCTTGATGAGTTACCCGCTAAAATCCATCACCCTTCCCATCACCAACACCCTCTTTCTCTTGAGTGTGAAAAGAATTCTCTTTTTTGCAAGCTATGTCAAACCCAACATTGTGGATACTTTTATTCTTGTTCACTTTGACATTGTAACATCAATATTGAATGTGCTTGGCCGAGGTCCGTTGTCGAAGATAAAAGTCACCATCAGCACCCATTCATCCTATTGTGGAGACCAGGATCATTCTTTTGCGACGCGTGTGGCACTGATGGCAAATATATTTCTTATATATGCTCTACTTGTGTTGTCTTCCATAAAGACTGCACAAAACTCCCACGCATTATCAAATTCTCACGACATCACCACTGCCTTTTTCGCAAATATTTTCTTGAAAAAAGAGAGCTTACAAGGAAGGATTGCAAGATCTGTTTCGAGGAAGTGAAAGTAGAGCGTGGCAGTTACTCTTGTGTGGTATCAAGTTGCAATTACGAAGTTCATGTGAATTGTGCCTTAGACGATAAAAGATTGTACGAGGTAATTGAGGAAGAATGCCGGTGTGAGGAGCTCAATGCAGCGACGCGGTCTTCCATCACTCGTGTTATTGAGGAGAATGAAGATGGGGAAGCCACAAAGATTGAACATTCCAGCCATGAAAGTCATTGTTTAGTGCTAGCAGACAAGATGGAGGAGGAAACTGATAGACAATGTGATGGGTGCATGCTGCCAGTCTCAACTCAGCTCTATTATTGTTCGGAATCAGATTGCCATTTTTGTCTTCACAAAAGTTGTGCTGAGTTGCCAAGAATCAAGCAACATTGGCTTCGTCAATCTAATGCTACTCTTCAATTTGAAGATCTCGAGACATGTGGCCTGTGCGATCGAATTTGTAATGGTTTCTTCTACAACATTGGAGGATTGTACGATGTTTGCATAAGGTGTGCAAAAGTTGCTGATATCATTGAAGGGCAAGCACACCAACACTTCCTTTTTTTTTAATTTCAAATGCAAGCAGAAGAAGTGTAATGGTTGTGGCAGCGGCTGGCATTGGGTTGGTGCATTCAGATGTGGAAAGTGCAGTTTTGCTTTGGATTTTGGATGCGTAACGTTACCACATTCAGCTCCTCACAAATCGGATGAACACATGCTATACCTTACTTATCATAATGATAATGATTATCCAAATCATCGTTATTGTGATATTTGTGAAGGAGAAAGAGATCCAAGCCTTTGGTATTATCATTGTTCGATCTGTGATACTTCTGCTCATCCCGATTGCGTTCTTGGAAATCGTCCATTTGTCAAGAACGGGGCCACCATGTGGTATTATGGCAGACATGATCATGAGCTTGGTTTTTTCAGGAAGGCAACGGGTTATCCTGAATGTTCCGATTGCGGTAAGCTTTGCCAAGAAGAAATTCTCAAGTGTGCTCAGCCTGCATGCAACTACATTGCCCACTACAGATGCCGCCGGTTTGGAGAAGAAAACTTTTGAGCCAGTGGTAAGGATAAATAAAAAGCCATTATTCTCTTTAATCATCAAAGTTTTAATTTTAATCGTCTTTCATGATTGTAGACGTGTATGAAGATTCTAAACAATCCAAGGAGTTCACAAGGGGTTTGACATTTCATTCCAACTTCTCTGAAGAAAGGATTAAAGTGAGCTATATATATGATTACGAGTATTAATAATTGTGAGTGTAATTTGTTAATTAATGAATGAGTTTGTGTGATTTGGTTTCAGTGTCACTTTGGGATTTATTTGAGTTTGTATGGTTGGATTGAGGTTTGTGTATGGTTTATTTGAGTATGTATGATTTTATTGCAATCGTAATTAATTTATGGTTTCATACATCGTATCATCACTGGTATCATCTACCTCAAAGACGTACTCTGTTACTTCTGGTTCTCTGGCTTTACGCCTACCAAATTGCCTTCTTGAACATAGCCTGCTGGATAAACATAAAATGAACCATAAATGTCATTGTGAAGTTTCCAAATAAGAAACTAAAGATGATTGAAAGTAATTTGCAGTAAGCAATGAGAAATGTATGAAACCTTTTGTTGTGGATACTCTTATTGGCTTGGACTTGAAATTTTTTACACCGCACAAGTAAATCCTGACTAGCTAAACGTGTATACGTGGAATCTTATTAGTATTTTTTTTAAATAATATTTAAAAACAATTGAAATAGATAATAATTAGAAGTCGATCGCATGTAATATATCAATAAAAATATAATTTACTCTTTTAACATTAAACCTTAAATTTCTATTTTCAAGAAAATTATTTGGTGTTGGTATCTTCTTGAAACAAATATATTCCTTAAAAATAAATTATATATATAAAGAGATTTTATTAACATTACCTTATAATCGTCCGTTTGAGCAGATAAAAGAAAAGAGATTTCATGTTCAAAACTCATGATTATCTCTCAAACCACAAATGACAATTCACAGTTTCTATATCAAACAGAAGTCTTAGATACCTTCACTTGGGGTAACAAAAACCATGTTTAATCAAATCCATTCCTTCCCCTCTTTAACAGATATACAACAGTAAAGACAGGAAACGCAACAATTTCTGAACTCCGTAAAGCTAGATTTCTTTGTCTTTCCCTCGATTGATCCTACTTGTCGATGGTTCCGGAACTCGATTAGGCTCAATATCTACATAAGCAAAATTTTCAAGATGATTATCAGATGCCTAAGTCTTAAAATTAACCTCTAATAGCCTACCAATTTAAGGGATTAATAGTTTAGTCTCTCTTCTTTCTTCTTTTTTTTTCATTATGGGGGAATCGGTTCCCCCCTGGGGGTATCGATTCCCCTCTAGCATTCTGGAAATTCATATTCGTTTGAGGGGGGATCGATTCCCCTTGAATGGGTACCGATTCCCCTAGCCCAGAAATCCCATTTTGAGCTCGAAAATCACCTTATTTCAGCTCAAACCTTCCTATTTCATTTCCTTTAATACTCCTAACTTTAATACACATACTTAAACTTATTTCTATTCCATAATCGTTTCTTTAACTCCAAATCTAGTCATTCTTATGTAATTGCAAAAATTATACTAGTTTTGCAACATGTTCAAATTCCTATTCTAACACTTCCTATCCCTTAATTAACTTGATGACAAGTCAAATCTCACTTCCAATTCTTATTATGAACTCTAATCTAAGATTTCACTTTTCTACTTCCTTTCTTTAATTCTTCATATACTTCTCATCTTGAGGTTTTAAAACAATTTAAACCTCCTTTAAGCTTAACTATTGCCTAATAGTCATGAATCAACCATAAATTCATCAAAAAATTCACTAACAAGAAAATCTTACCTTAGCTTGGGTCTCACGTATGAAGAAGAAGAAAGAAGAAGATGACTCTGAAAGCTTGTTTTAATTTCCTACTCTTCCACGTGCTTAATATAATACTAACCCCAAAATTATATTGCTATAAAAAGACCATTTTGTCCTTCTAATCTTCCTTCTTTATAATTCAATCCTACACCAAATAACTCAAATAGGTCATTGAACTCTTCCATCATTCTACTTAAATCAACAAATACTGAAACTTTACAAATTAATCACTAACCCGGCATGGAGGATGTTACAAATCTCTCTCCCTTAAGAAAATTCGTCCTCGAATTTTTAATAAGAAAAGAGATGAGGATACTGATTCCTCATATCCTCCTCACGCTCACATGTTACTTCCTCTACTTTGTGATTCTTCCATAAAACTTTAACCAATGGAATAGTCTTGTTCCTCAATTGCTTAACCTCATGAGCTAAAATTTGAATCGGTTCTTCCTCATAAGTCATATCCGATTGTACCTCGATCTCTTCTGGGTTTACGATATGGGAGGGATCCGATCGATATCTTCGAAGCATTGAGACATGGAATACATTATGAATCTTTTTCATTTCTGGTGGTAAAGTCAATTGGTATGCTACGGGTCCCACTCTTTTTACAATTTCATATGGTTCAATAAATCGGGGACTTAACTTTCCTTTCTGACCGAACCTCAACACATTCTTCCATGGAAATACCTTTAAAAACACTTTATCCCCAACTTCAAATTCAATCTCCTTTCTTTTAAGATCAGAATAGGACTTTTACCGATCAGAGGCCACTTTGAGGTTATGCTGAATTTCTTGAACTTTCTGTTCTACATCTTGAATTAACTCCGGACCAAGAACACTTCGATCTTTGAGTTCATACCAATTTAATGGAGTACAGCATTTTCTTCCATATAATGCTTCATATGGGGCCATCTTTATACTAGACTGATAACTATTATTGTAAGCGAACTCTGCCAGCGGTAAATACTTTTCCCATGATCCTTTGAATTCCATTACGCATACTCTCAACATATCTTCCAATATCTGAATAGTTCTCTCTGATTTCCCATCAGTCTAAGAATGAAAAGCCGTACTAAAGTTTAAACGAGTCCCCAACACTCCATGCAAAGATTTCCAGAATCTAGAAGTGAATCGAGGGTCTCGATCAGAGACTATGGAAACAAGCACTCCATGGAATCTAATAACTTCTCTAATATACAGCTCTGCATACTTTTCCATAGAGAAATCCGTTCTAACCGGAAAGAAATGTGCTGACTTAGTTAATCGATCAACAATTACCCAGATTGATTCTCTTTTGTTCGGAGTCAAGGGTAACCCCGAAACAAAATCCATCGTAACATTTTCCCATTTCCATTGAGGAATGAAAAGCGGTTGCAATAATCCTGACGGAACTTGATGCTCGGCTTTGACTTGTTGACATATCAAACACTTAGACACAAATTCGGTGATACTTCGTTTCATCCCTGACCACCAAAATCGATCCTTCAAATCCATATACATCTTGGTTCCACCCGGGTGCATCGTTAACGAACTGCAATGAGCTTCTGTTAATATTTCTTTCTTAAAGTCGTCATTGTCGGGTATTACAATTCTTCCTTTACAATATATATTTCCATCTGACTTAATCTCAAAGTCTTTAATCTCTTTGTTCTTTACTTGTTCAATTCTTTTCAAACACGTTTCATCTTTACTTTGTAATTCTCTTATCCGTTCCAACCATGCTGGTTTAAGGGTTAACTCTGCATAAAGACCACCGTCTCCCGTTAAAGATAATCTTGCATTCATAGCTCGTAAAGCTGCAAACGTCTTTCTACTCAAAGCATCTGCTACCACGTTAGCTTTTCCGGGATGATAGTCAATTATCACATCATAATCCTTTAAGAACTCTACCCATCTACGTTGCCTCAAATTCAACTCTTTTTGAGTCATCAGGTACTTCAGGCTCTTATGATCCGTATATAAGTAACAATGCTCCCCATAAAGATAATGACGCCAAATCCTGAGAGCGAATACTACATCAGCCATTTCTAAATCATGAGTGGGGTAATTCTTTTCATATGGTTTCAACTGTCTCGATGCATACGCTACCACCTTCCCTTCTTGCATTAATACACACCCCAACCCGTTATGGGATGTGTCACTGTATACTACAAAATTCTTGCCAGATTCCAGTTGAACCAATATCAGAGTTTCCGTCAGAATTCTCTTTAAAGCTTCGAAACTTTCTTGACATTCAGAAGTCCAAACAAACGGTACATTCTTTCTCATCATCTTTGTTAAAGGCAGCACTATCATCGAAAAATTCTTAACGAATCTTCGATAATAACGGGCAAGTCCAAGGAAACTCCGAACTTCAGATACATTCTTTGGAACTTCCCAGTCCATTATAGCTTTAACCTTCTGAGGGTCTACTCTAATCCCAACTCCCGAGATTACATGCCCCAAGAAAATTATTTCGTTTAGCCAAAATTCACATTTGGACAATTTCGCATAGAGATTTTTATCCCTGAGAATTTGCAAAACTAACCTCAGATGTGCGCTGTGCTCTTCAATGGACTTCGAGTAAACCAGTATGTCATCAATAAAGACAAAAACAAACTGGTTCAAATAGGGCTGAAAAATCATGTTCATGAGATCCATGAAAGTAGCTGGTGCATTCGTTACTCCGAATGGCATTACGATGAATTCATAATGACCATATCTCGTTCTGAAAGCCGTATTCGGAATATCTTTCTCCTGAATCTTCAATTGATGATAACTCGAACGTAGATCGATCTTCGAAAATACTGAAGCTCCTTTTAGTTGATCAAACAAGTCATCAATGCGCGGAAGGAGATACTTGTTCTTGATGGTCACCTTATTAAGCTGTCGATAATCAATACAGAGACGCATTGATCCATCATTCTTCTTAACAAATAACACCGGAGCTCCCCAAGGTGACACACTTGGTCGAATAAATCCTTTTCCTAGCAACTCTTGCAATTGATTCTTTAAATCTTGCAATTCTTTCGGAGCCATCCGATAAGGTGCCATTGCAATTGGAGCGGTTCCTGGCATTATCTCAATTTGAAATTCTACCTCTCTATCTGGAGGTAATCCTGGCAACTCAGCCGGGAAAACTTCAGGGAATTCTTGAACTATTGGAA